CTCAATCTTTCCCAGCATTAGGCCCTTCTCCAGTGAGTCCTTCCTTCTCATTAGGTGGCCAAAGTATTTGAGTTTCAACTTCAGGATCTGGCCTTCTAAAGNGGGTTGATCTCTTCTAGGACTGACCGGTTTGAACGCCTTGCAGTCCAAGGGATTCGCAGGAGTCTTCTCCAGCATCATAGTTCAAAGGCCTCAGCCTTTCTTATGGTCCAACTTTCACATCCATACATTGCAACTGGGAAAACCATGGCCTTGACTATACGCACTTTTGTTGGCAGGGTGATGTCTCTGCTTTTTAGTATGCGTGGCTAAATGCTCTGTTCAGAAGAACTTGAATAACTTTCTTAGAATAGGAAGTAGACAAGAAAGAGATTCTGTAGCCAAGCTTGCTCTTGCACTGTTATAACTTTTGCTGGTAAGAGTCTAACTATGCCTTACTAAATATAATAAATAAGGAAGTCGCTTGAAAATGAAGAGAGAGAGAGAGAAAAACCTCCCTTGCATCTGTTTCATTTTAGGATTCTCATTACTTTGAGCACTGATCCTTGGTCAACCCCTTGTTTTTTCTCTCATCTAGAAATGATGGAGCTTATTATCACACATATAGTGTGCTTCCACCATGGAGGCATTCCATCTCTGTTTGAAATTGGAACATTAATAATGTATTTTTCAAAGTCAGTGGGACATACTTATTAGGAAAAATGCTACAGCACCACTTCTGAACTAAGAAGCCGGATTGCAAACCACACATGCAGAGATTTAGACACTACCCTAAGGGAGGAAGAATCTTAGAAGACGTTTCATAATTGGGTCTTAGTTTTACAAACCATTAATTCAGTTGAAACTCACTTGGCCAATGGAGTGCTGAGAACTACCAATGAATGTTAGTACATAAGTCCAAGTTTCTTTACTCTTTATGAAGTGCAAAATGATTTTTCAAAACCAGCCCCCCGCGATGGGAAAATCAAACGATTCCTTCTGGTAATGGAAAGCAGGCAATGATAGATGGATTTTGGCTGACTACAAGGAGCTGAAAAATTCAGAGTTACATATTTAATTAGAGAAGCTGAAATGGAAATGACTGCCAGTAGAAAGCAATTTACCAAAGCCCAAATGAAACTCAGAGTATAAGAGCTATCTAAAATGGTGAGCCCAAAGTCATCTCTAACATCACCCTTTTTTCTTCAATGAAGACAAGGCTTCTGGATTTCCACCTCTAAATGGCACATAGTTCTTATACCTAGTTGACATGGCAACTCCCCTGCCTGTTTGACGGATGCTTGTAGAAGGTTACATTCCAAAACATGAAAACGGTAGGGAAAAATTACTGAGGTTTTGAACCAGTGCCAGCTCTCTTCTTATTCTCAAACCGAGCACTTGGAATCAGGTTGTACACACAGAATGATCCATAACTGCTGCCAAGTTTCTGCAGTTGCAAAGTATTGTGCTAAACTTAAGCTTCTTGTCAACACTTGGTTTAGCTCCCTACATCCATTCCAAAAAAACCCCTCTTGTGAGCTCCAGATTTATTGTCAAATGTCAAGGCCCACAAAACCTACTCAGCTTGTCAGTCCAATTCACACCAAACTTATGACCCTCCAGATACTGCTCAATACAACTCCCAGCACTTCTTACTATTGCCCATGGGTGTTGTGTTCAGCAGCATCTGAGGGATAGCGGTTGTCCACTGTTGGCTTAAGGAAGTGGCTTAAAAACAATTTAAATAAGCTAAATAAACTAATTTTTGCCCACTGATTGGTTAATCATACGTCAAGCTTCAGGTTGTCAATTTCTTGATGCATCATATATTTCATCATATCATATATGATGAGAGAGAGAGAGAGAGAGAGAGAGAGAGAGAGAGAGAGAGAGAGAGAGAGAGAGAGTTAAATCCATTAACGAAACATAAACTAGAATCAGTAAGAGAAGCTCACAGTTTATTTCTTCTAGACTGAGCATCAAGTTAACAACATTAACAAGATCTTTTTCAGAAATGTTACTTTGAATGAATTCCATTTGCTGGACTCAAGAACCCATATGTATTTATAAAATAAGCCCTGTTACACATACTGCTTTTTGGGGGCTGAAATTTTCTTTCATTCCTGACATATATATATATATTGCCCTTATTAATAATGGATATCCAAAAATATCTGATCTGTATTGTTTATCCCACTATTCCTTTTTTTTAAGTTTAGTAGTGGAAAACTGGAAGTCTCACCTTCAGTTTCTATGGTTCTATAAGAAACATGTTAAAGAAGCAGAATCACAGCAGATCAAAACTTTGACTACCTTCCTGGTATGATTTCCAAACAGGAAGCTCTTTTCCATTTACCATTTGCATTTCTTTCCAATATTGTACAACATTTCTGTTCGTACGACCATTAAAACTTTAAAAAGGAAATAGACACCACCCAAAAAAGAAGAGAAAGAAACAGCTCCACCAATATTTTCCCTTCTTTTCCTGACTTTTTCTATTACCTTTCCCCCCCGCCCCCACAAATTGTAAAATTTGGAAGTTGTATTGCTGCTTTGGTCAAAGCCAAGATCAGTATCAGTTACACCAGCATTCAGTGCCACTGCGTTGGCCTTGAAAAAGACCCTGAAGTTATGTTCCTCAGCATTCTCCTGCAGTAACCATGCATTACTTACAATCTTAAAATGTTATTTCATGTGCTTCTGATCCCACCAATGTTCTATAGTACATTTCCCTTTTCAATACCATAATCTGCTGCCATAAGAGGGTCTTTCTCTCACCACTTAGCCCACAATATAGAAGACAAGCAAGCACGGCCACTTTAAAAAACAAGAGTTACTGGATTTTGAAGAGCACTCATATTAATGTCATAAATAAATGGCCAGCAATCTACCTTTGCTTGCTTGCTAGAACTGCTGGAAGCTGACACTCAGGAAGTTTTTCAGAGAGGCAACAGAGGGAGAGGATGAAAAAGGACATATTTCCAACCAAGATGCGATTGGCATGAGGACATGAAGCAGGTAACACCACAAATTTGCCCCTCTCCTTAATATGCTGTTTGATTAAAAAATTTCAAGATAACTCAGAGATGTCTCTGCATTTTAAAAAAATGCAAAAAAATTGTAAAAAAAATTACAAACATTTTGCAAACAAAAATCTAACGTTTTAATTAACTCATGTGTGCCCAAGACATGAGTTAATTAAAACAAAATCACACATACCAGGTGCTTGAAAAGAGTGTCAATTCCAGAAATCAGACCCAAGAAGATAAATGACAACTGAGTGCTTCTATTAGAAAAGAAAATGTAATGGAGATGCAGCTACTCTACTATGCTGTAGGGCACAACATTTATAGAAAAAAAATTAAAATGTCAACAGAAAGCTGCTCCTCCATTTGAATAGAAAACAATATCTATTTTTTATAATTAAGTTAATAAGAAATTTCATGTATAAACTTCTAAATATCTTCCTAATTTGTTTCTTCTGATAAATTAAGCAGATACATTGTCTTCAGAGATCTGAAAGTAATTTTGAAGACAGGCAGCTGATGATGATTGATGATGGTGATGAAGGGGCTTTAGGAAATATAGCAAGGGAAAAGCCACTCAATCTTTTCCTGTCCTATATTTTGTTGTTGTTGTTACTGTTCTTTCAAAAAAGGAAAGAAAACTGCCCTCATCGATTTTTTTCAGAATAGTTTCTCAGTTCCAAACATCCAAGTATCATTTCATTGTGTCCCATGCCACTACAATTTCTACTTATTTGTGAAAAACATGGAAGACTGCCTAATGTCCTTTATCTTATTTTTGTTCTGTTTAAACTCTTGAACTTCTGATTTATATTCACAGCATAAATACATATACACAGACACAAAATTATATATGGGTGACAAATATCACCTTTAAGTGCTGCTTCCTTTTTGGAGATCTGGATTCCAGTTTTATGTTCTCCTGTGGATTTGGATGATGTAAATAGTATCAGCAGCCCTAGCGTCCACCGCCCCTTATTTTTAACATTTATCTTGCTGTCAGATTTACTTACTTCATATTCATATTCATATTCATGAATATATGAGTATATCTTTCTATCTGTCTGTCTGTATATGTATCTATGTATGTGTATACACATGTGGGTATTACTATAGACACACAAACACACAAACACACACACACACACACATACATACATATATATATATGTGTGTGTGTGTGTGTGTGTGTGTGTGTGTGTGTATGTGTTTATGTGTATGTATGTGTTTTAAAAAGGAGATAAAAACTAACAAAACTAATCCAAAGGGGGGGGGGGAGAGAAAGAAATAAAAAGACAATCGTATGAAAAGATAAAAATAAAAAGAAACTTCCAATTTTCTCTGCAGAAAATACAAGTAGCATTACAAAATTATCTTACTCTATGATTACAAGCTCTATTTTTCCATTAACTAATTTTTTCTAATCATCAAAACCACAAATCAAAAGTCCATTTTCTGTTTCATGCAGAAAGTCTATAAGAGGATTTCAGTCAGCAATAAATACAGATGTTGTCTCTAATCAAAAAAGTCCATTTAGCCATCTCTGCAAGTCCCATCACCTTTACCAGCCATATCTCCACTGCAGATAGTACCAAATATTTTCACTGCAGTTATCATATATAAAAACGAAGTTCCATGACTTTTTCTCAAAGACTATTTAAAATGCTTACCTCAATTTTATTCCCTCCTGCAATAATGGGGTCTGAAGAATACCTGAATTTGCAGAGCGCATAAATTCTCTCTTCTGGTAATGAAGTGTATATTCAGAAAACAGATTTCTAAACTGCTACGTCGCAAGTGAAAGACAATTAGGAGGCCACATGATAATCTTGCCTCTTCAGCCCACATCCCAGGCCCTAGGTATAGCATCAAATCCCTCCCAGAACTGAGCAGCTCAGCACATACCTGTGTTTGTTTTTCCCTTCTTTTCTCCAACCTACATAAGCACATGGATGAATGAGGGTCGTGAAGATGAACTCAGAGGCTGGAAGTTACCTGCATAGCTGTAAGAATATTGGCTAAGGCCTGGCCGTAGGTGTCATGGCAATGCACTGCGACAGCGGACAATGGAACTTCCATCATAACAGATTCCAGCATTCTTTTCATACTGCCAGGGGTTCCCACTCCAATGGTATCTCCCAAGGAGACCTCATAGCATCCCATACTATATAGCCTTTTCGAGACCTGATTAGACAGAAACAGAGTTCTTTCAAATATAAGAGAGAGGTAGCAAGGGAAATATCAACGGTCTACTTTAAGGTTACAAATTCACATGTGCCAAAGAAGAATTTCAGAGGTATTAGGAACCCCATTCATTTTTCTCTTCACGTGGCTCATTTCTATCTTCTTTCTAAGATTTCTGGAGCATCTAAACCTAATGGCTTAGAATTTTGGGAATTTTAATCACAAGGGGGCTGGAAGGCACGGGGTCAGGAAAGCAGATCTAAGTTGCCAAATCATTCTTTGCACTTACAAATGCATGTCACATTGTCACCTTGTGGGCCTTTTAAATCGAGATTTGACCAAACAATAGGACATTCTGTTAGGTTTTAGTCTGCCCAAACCAATTAAGACAGGGGAAAAGGCCTATCTGATATTACAGTGTATTTAACAAATGAAAGCCAAAGCAGATCCCTGTTCCGTATTCAGGTAGTCCTCGAATTACAATCACAACTGAGCCTGGAATTTTGGTTGTAAGTCATTGTAGTCGTAAGTCGAGTCACCCCCAGACGAAGCTCAATTTTACAACCATTTTATGACAGTTGTTAGGTAAATCACCAGGGCCGTTAAGCAAAATCCAAATTCAGGTTACCCAATGGACAGGTTTTGTTGGAGAGTGACCAAAAACATTGCAAAACACAGTCCCATGACCATGGGACACTGCAACTGATCATAAATGCGAATCAGCTGCAGAGCCCAAACTGTGATCTCACGACCACACAAGTGGTACAACAGTTTAACTTTGAGGACAGGATTGTAGCTAACTTTTATTGAGCCTATCATAACTTCAAAGAGGTTGTACATTTTGATTTGTATTTTTAGTCTTCATTCCGATTTAAAAAAGCATTCAGAATTTACATCCCTTTCCTCTTTTTGAGGGGAGGGGAAATAAACTCATGTAAAAAATGTAGAGCATGAGGGACTACTTTTCTCAGCATGAGGCTTTTGTTTGTTTGGGGTGGCAGGTCAAAGGTTGTCCTCCAAGAAACAAAATAGTGATGAATCAGTGGGGGGGGGGCACGCGCTCTGCTGTTTCACCATTCCTATTCCAGAGATCAACATATACACACACATTCTTTTTCATATGGGTGGTTCTTAGACTTAAAAACATATTTTCATTGCTTCTGCAGTCCATCTAGTCCTCAAATATAGAAAAGGCAAGACTGTATAAATTCTATCAGCTTTAAGACTAAATCTTGGCTTGAGCAGAAGTGTTCATGACATGTTTAGGAAGGCGCATTTATTGCATCGAATGAAGAAAATCCCCACCATATGTTTTACTTTCTGGCTTACTAAGACACAGTGGGAACTGATGCTTCTATTATTATCTGAACTGACAGTTATTCTTGCTTCTGAAAATATACACACATAGTATATTTGATGGCAGCTAATAGCTATGGCTCATGCTAGTTGGACTGGAGGTAGAGGCTACTTATTGTCTAATACAGCTAATAGACAGGATGTAGTCAAATAATTATATAGCTGAAATGTAAATGTTTTTTTCTCCTTCAGTGAGAAAAACTGACACCGATTTAAAGATTAGAAGTACCTCTCTTAGCAGTGTCATTTCAAAGTGCATTATATATAAATAAATATGTCAAGCATATTCCTGTATTCACTGTTTTAATTATCGCAAGGGAATCAATCATGCATGCAGCTATCCCTACAAATTTTGAAGAACAAGGAGTTGTAGAGGCATATTTAATACGTGCACATTCTGCTTTGGTTTTAATTTAGAAGAAATAACCTTACTTCAGCAACCTTAGCTGGAGGAATATGTCCTTCATAAGGGCATCCCAATGCACAAGACACATACCTAAACCAAGGAAAAGAGATACACTGTTGATAGGCATCTATATAGTAATTCTCACAAGCAACCATCATGTTTTAAATGTGGTATGTACAATTAGAAAAAAATGTAAGGGTAGACAAATTTAGTCTGCAATATAATACTGATAAAATCGAATGCAATCTATCAGCCACCTGCTCACAAGTAATATGCCATATGCCTAAATACAAACTACTGCAGAAAAATAAATCCAATGTTCTTATCACATTTATTTTTAACTAGATGCATTTATATTTACAATTTGACTTCTACTAGTTCAAACCAGCATATTATCTGTACTGAGATCACAAAATAAATCTGGCAATGTTGGGAATGATTCGAGAAGTGATATGCTGATACAAGGATGTAAGGCTCATGCAGTGGACCTCAGTCAGGATATTGCCAAAGCAGCCACCCAACTCAGAATACTTACGTGTTATATAAATGGGAATCACATGCAGCTGATGACTCCAGGCCTGTCATAATTTGCCCCATCCTTTAACAGAATCCTGACAATAACCTATTTCATTGTTACAGAACTAAAGAACTCTGAATTTATTTCGAATTCAAGAACTGTCTTCCATGCAAAAAATTGTTCCTTTTACCTTCTTCCCAGTATACTGGGAGGGAGCAGGACTAATAGAACATTGTTGATCTATCTGTAGGTTCTACGTAACCTTATGTCCATCCTTACTATAGCAAATAAAATGTAAACTACAACCTGCTTCTAGGAGCTTACATCAGCTAACCAGCAGCTATCTTCTCTGTCTCCCTAGTCAGAGACTCACTGCGTGTTTTCCTGCTTTCGAACCTATAGTTAGAATTTTACAAGCCACCTCAATCTTTCCAGCTGCCATTAAAATACTAGCTATGCTCATCGAAGGCATGTCTGACACCTGTCTTTCCTCCACACTTGTTGCAGCTACACACACTGTATAGTCTCCAACTCTACTTGCCCTTTCTCCAGTCACATTCTTGTCCGTCAGGTAGTTTGCAGTCCCAACCCAAATATATATAAGTCAATTTTAAGCTTTTGTGGGCAAATATATAGCACTCTTCTGTATTTTCAAAGACTATTTTGGATGCCTCAGTGGGAAGAGTGATAAAAAAAAATCACTGCTTCTTCTCATCTAAAAAAAGAACAGAAAACCATGGATGGAATACTAGCAACTCTATCTGGAAAATCTCTGGGAACTGAAACTATAAGTTATTATGGACATTGGTCTTTAGAAGGAACATTTACAAAATATAGCTGGGTAATTTATCAGCTTCCAATTAATGAAAATAAACCCAAACAGAAACAGTCCTACACAGAAGTCTGGCTCTTGATGGTTAGAAAGCCACACACATGGCCACAGAGAGGGGGGGAGAGGGGAGAGGGAGGGAGGGAGGGAGGGAGAGGGAGAGGGAGAGGGAGAGGGAGAGAGAGAGAGAGGGAGAGAGAGAGAGAGAGAGAGAGAGAGAGAGAGAGAGAGAGAGAGAGAGAGAGAGAGAGAGAGAGAGAGAGAGAGAGATATGCTAGCACATCCAAATGCAGAGAGATCCCCCAGAATCTCATCTGAGACACAGATGCTTGTGTTTCCTATTATTATATTGTGTACTAGCTGTACCCGGCCATGCGTTGCTGTGGCTCAGTCTGGTTAAATGGAAAAGAAAGAAAAGAGAAAGCGCACGTTTGTAATATGTTTAATTCAGGGCTTTTTTTCAGCCGGAACGCGGCGGAACCGCGTTCCGGCACCTTTTTCCGGGCCGGCCGCACCGGAAATAGCCCCTCCCAAATTTTACTTGCATTCCTGTTCTCTAAAGGGGCGGTCCTAGGGTTTGATGAGGGCGTGGCCAGGTTTGAGTTCCACCACCTTTTCTCTGAGAAAAAAAGCCCTGGTTTAATTTCACAATGCTTGTGGGTATACAATATTTTTTGTTGTTCCATTGTCTGTGCAGATATAGAGATTGTCTGGTTTGCCGACTCTAGAACATGCAACATATAATTGTCCATGTGAGAAGCAATCCGTGTCTAGATCTAAACCGCACAATTCTAAAGATTGGCCCTGAGCTTTGTTGATGGTGATTTCAAAAAAAGCATGTTTTTACCTGTCTCAGGTGTGACATCTATATAATAGTAGGTATATAAAACACGCGCGTATTCGAATGCAACGTTGTGTCAAAATTTCAAAGCAATCGGTGAAGAACTTTCGGAGATTTAAGATTTTGAACAAACAAACATTTACATTTTTATTTATATAGATTTGAATATAATTTACACTACTCATTGTAGAAGCATTTATTTTCATTGGAAATTCATGTCTGAAGAACAGATATGCATCCTAAAAGCAAATTCTTAACATGGCAGTTGATATTTCCTTAGCGGATATTATATTATAAAGCCACCAAATAATTTCTGCCAGAACTCTAGGAAATAAGGGGAGATTGTAATAATAACTTAAAAACGTCTCCTAATGTCTCCTAATGAAAGCAAAGCTTTAAAAAAGAACAGGACTTTGGATAGTTTCAACTGTATTCCAAAGTTGCTCATTGCAAAGTACTGTCCTAGATGATTCAATCTTACTGTATTTTGTAATTTATTCAACAAATTTCCATAATAGGAGTGTTCAAACTTAAATAAAACTATTGCTGCCATTCCTCAATCCCATTCTCAATATTTTTAAAAAATCCAAAAATAATTGTAGATCTATTTTCTGATTTCAAACTTCAACAAACATGGACAATATAATGGCCATTTATAGCAACAAATTACTTAATATGAAAAATTCCGCTGCTGGTGAACGAATACAAATAATTTTCATTTCCTTTAAGCAGATAATGACTCTTCATATTTCCATTACATTGGATGCTTTTCCTGTCATATTAAACTTTACAAATGAAGCACATCATTTAATTTTCCTGCATGGAAGTAAAGTCAATCACTTGTGCCACCCACAAATGGACTGCTCTTTTACTTATAAATAGAGACACATTTGTGGAATCACAATTTGCTTACTTAGGATTTGAAGTTTATTTGTTTTTTAGGTAAAAGATAGTTTCAGGTTGCAGATTGATGTTAAGGTTGAGTTCCAGTTCCATCTTTCTCAAAATTAAGACATGGAAAACCTCACTATGTAAAGTTCATAGTCTCTCAAAGTATTATGAGTATCTCATAAAACTAGAGCCTGGGGTCACCTACCGAACAGAAGACTTAGAAAGAGAAAGAGTTATCCCACCCTGTTAATTTTTGCTAGATTACTATTAAATGATGTAGTGTTGGCTGCTACCTTGGATATCTTAAAAGAAGTGTTCAAATTAATTTATGACATATAAAGTTATGAATGTTTTATAATGGAGGTAGTTCACATCTTAACAAATATTTTCAGTGAAAATAACAGGAAGATTCTATTCTGTTCATGATCTGCTTGTGGATATCCCATTGGCATCTGTTTAGCTCCCAAGGAAAAATGTTGAATAGGACCTGGATCTGACTGAACACCATATTCAAGGAACTATGGGACTATTTTAATAGTTCTTGTAAATCAAGGTCCAAAAAATAAACATTGTGCTTTACAATCCTTACTCCATTTTCATCTCACCATATTTTGAGTGAGTCAGATCATACATAGAGACAGCATGATTTGCCAAGACCACCCACACAGTGTCTTGGCTAGCAGGCAATTAAAGTTGTCTAAATGTGACATGTTATTCACCTGCTGTACTGCCCCTAGTTTAATTACAATATATTTACTTAAGCTTTTTGTTTTCATGGATCACATTCACATTTCCTATCAGGAGAGTGTCTGTAATTATATACACTTTTACATCGGGAAGGCGCTCATATAGCTTTGAATTCTTTTAAAAGACAATAACTTTCTGTGCAGTGTATTTGTATTATCAGATCACCAGGGAGACTTTAGTCCAATTGAACATACAAAATATATTTTTAAAAATGTGATGGCTGGATTTTTAGCACATTTCTTTGAACTGTGGTCTTATAGGATGTTCTAAAGTGGTAGGAAAAGTGGATTGAGGGCCATTAGGGATTTCTTTTATCAATAAAGGAACAGCCTCCATTTTTGGTTGACCTCAGCAGCTGGTGTCCAAATGCCACTGATGACTAGAGTTTGCTGGCACATATCGTTTCATGAAGAAAGCACTTTCCAGATCCTTTGCTTGTAACAGTTGTCTACAGTCCTGAAATGGTTGTTTAGAATGCCTTGTTGGAAAAATACTTGGATGACATGTTATTGAAAAAAAAGTATTATAAGATAGAAGCAGTACACTATATTATTTGGGTACAATGGTTTTTACCAAACAGCTTACAAACACTGTGATGATTTAGGTAACTTAAACATTTAAAGATAAGGGGAAAATTGTACGTCAATATTACCCAAGGTTTCTTAAATCTTAATATTAATAAACCTAAGGTTGCTTAAATTGTACACCCATAGCTGAGTGTAGAATTCATGAACCTGTCTGAAAATATGTCTCCTTTATCTCTGTAATAATAAATATCTGTAAACTCCATTCACTAGGGCAGCGACTTTGAGTATTGACATTATATTATTCAGGAATTTTATTCACTTTGTTATCCATGATAGGCAATTTGCTTTATGATACAATTCAAAATTTACTAATTAAGATAATTGTGAAAATCATGTTAATCAGCCATGTTTACTTCTAATCTGTTCTGCTGGAAGTGAAAATTGTAGTAAAGGGACAACTATATTCAAACTTTGATTAATAATTGTATGCACTGTTGCGTTCTGTTGGCGATTGTGCCCCATGTCTTGAGAGCGGAGAAAATATGTTCTCTATATTCTCCCCTATGTTTATGCATAGAGGACATTTCCACCAGAAAGTCTTCAAAACTTTCATGTTGAGCCTTCACGAGGTAGTGGCAACTTTGCAAATCCAGATGGGATTTTGTTTCTGAACAAAATATTTTCAGAATGATTTGCAAAGCCCCTCCATCCAGGGCTTAGCTTCACTGTGCCTTGCAGCAGGAATTCAAAGCATTAATAATTACAGGTTGTTCAGATGAACCACTTCTTTTCCTCATTTTGAAACTTCAGCTAATTAATTTCATACACTAGACTGGATATACAAATATGGAGAATGGATGTATGAATAATTAATAATGATATTTACCTATCTTTTTAAAAAAAAAAAATAGTAAGCATATGATATTTGCCAATAAGCAGTTCAAGGCTTCCATATGTCAGCTGATAAATCTACATGAACATATACCAACGCTGCATGACCTTGGACCAAAGCCGGTCCAGCTGTAGCAATGGAACTTAAGAAACCTGTCTAAAGCTTTCAAGGAGATTTTTTTCCCCATTACATTTACCCACTGATGTTGATCTATTCTTGCAATATAAACTCTAATTTGCCAGGAAAAACAGGATATAAAGCTTGAAATTCTTAACGTGATTTCTGAAAGGTCCAAGCTTGCCAGATTGCCTAAAGTTATACCAAAGTTGATGGTATCAAAAGCCATTAAGTAGCCTAGAAAAACCATCAGGTCCCTACACCACAGCTAGTTTCTATATTCCAGCTTAGGTCATCCATTAACATGCCAAAATAGTCTCAGGATTATATCCCAACCAAAAACCCAGGAGAAATTTAAACAAAGAAGCAGTTACATCCAAATCTACTGGGGTCACATCTTTTTTGAGCCTTCACCCTTTACTCAAGAAAATTTGAGACTGCCTTGCAGTTACAATGATCTTCCAGCTCAAGAGACTTTTCCAATAAGGACCTTATGACTACTAGCAGGAACATAATCCACCTGATAAACACATTAATCACCTCCTTAGCCATGGAGTCTCTCCCATCCAAGCTTAACTAATCATTTAGTAAGGACAAGGTATTGGGCAAGACAGTGGTGGTCATTTCCACATACATTACATGCTAAAACTCTCTGTCCTGCTATAACATTGGCATCCAGATCAAGACAAATTGCATCAGCTTTTTCTGCAAATGATGATTAAAATTGTTCACAGCAAGTCTCTGTCCCTGCTGTGACGTCTAGACAGAGAAAACACTACATAGAACAGAAATGTCCCAAAAGTGCTTTTTCCAAAAAGCAACTGGACTTTCATTGTTCTTCCTTGAAGATGTTTCGCTTCTCATCCAAGAAGCTTCTTTCGTTCTCAATGAGGAGGGCAACATCTTCAAGGAAAAACAAAGTCCGGTTGCTTTTTGGAAAAAAACACCTTTGGGACAACCATGACCTGGATGACTGAGAATCTCCTTAGACAGAGAACAGAAATGCATTGCACTCATTACAAAACAGGATTTCAAACAAGAGTTAACTTGAAATGTACTCATTATTTGATTCAATCCACCCTAAACGCTTCTCCACAGTTCACTACCAATCACCTTAATTGCTACAAATTTAATAAAAGACTGCTGGGAAGGAAGAAACCTCTGGAGATATCCAGTTCTTCGGAGGGTTCCAGAAATGGATCCTAAGAAAATGTTGGAGTTCTTCAAATACACTGAATATGTTGAAAAACTGCACAAGAGAAGCTATCCAAGCTATGCATGGATATGATATGTAAACTGGGATTAACAAGGGCTTGAGTACTGCTGTAAGAGGAACTCTAGGTATTTTTTTCAGTCTGAAGTGAAACACAGCTTTATTGCAGAAATGGAATAACTAAGACTGCAATCTTAAAATAAATTTTATACTGAATGTCCAACAGAATAGACTAGGATTCACTTCTGAGAAAACAACCAAAAATTGTGCTGCAAATTAGAAATCTATCTCCATTTCTTTAGTCAGTGTAAAAATATAGCAAAGAAATGATCACATTAATAAAATTAATAATTATTACCCTCGCACTGGAACGTCCATATTTCTTGCAGATTTAACTACGGCCTCAAATCTGTCCAGGCTTTCTTCTATAGTACAATTGATGTTTATTTTATTAAAAGTCTCGGATGCTGCACAAAACACCGACACTTCAGTTGCTCCAGCAGCTATCTACAAAAGCAAACAGAACAAGAAGAGAACAAAAAAACATCATTTTTCTTAAGCAAATAGGAACTATACAATTGTAGTATATGCATTATTTTAACAGTAGTTCCTGACTACTGTAGAAAAAATAACCAAAAAGTAGTCTAGCTATAATTAATCAAATTTACATGAAGTCATTCCAAGAGCAAACTATTTCCATTTAAGATCTAGATAGTCATTACTGCTATAAGAACTGCTGCTAACTAAGATCTTCTCAGTGGTGTCCAATATCAGACCCCACATATTGTAGCAAGAATTCAAGACTAAAATAGAAAAGATGAGGCATTATGTTACACTAGTATTTCTTAATCTTTGTTCCAGTTCATTGGCTTTTATTCTGAAAGGTCAGTGGAGATACAGAGTGAACTGAAACTCATTCACAAACTTGGAAAAGGCAGAGTAATGCAATTTCTGTCAATTAGGGGTCACCATGCTTGATGTGTGTGTCAAAAGGGGGAGGCGTCAGGGAGTTTAAGAGGTAAAATGTGGATCCTGATCATCACCCATTAAAATCAATGACAGCAGACTGCATAATTGCTACTCTTAGGATAAGCCATAATGTAGTTTGTTTGTTTTGACTCAATAGCTTGACTGAATATATATTACAGTTTATAAACCATGCTATAGGCTGTGATAGAATTTAAAGGGGACTATAGTTTATTATAATTATTTGGTCCAGTCATAAGAATATCATCCTCTTGACTGCAATTTCTGGGGACTCAGTTTGGGAAAGGAGGGAACATTCCAACTATTTTCCCAACAGCATGACAAGCACCACAAACAAGGTAGCAGAGGTACCATGTTGTTCCATGCTGGAACACTTCAGCCCACTTCTGCCTGCCTCCTCAGGAGGCACATGATGAGATATATATTCTACTGTGAAGAGATTTCCTTAACAATTGGTACATGTGCTCTCTTCACACAGCAGCGAACAGGAGATGTGGATAAACCCCAAAATTTGGCACAAGTCATACATTTCAAGGAATCCAAATCTTGATTAATGTATTTTGGATTTAACTTCAAGAATGGAAGCATTCTGTAATTTAGTATTTCTAAATATACAATTCTTGGAATGCTTTGGAAGGATTTTTTTTTTCTAATTTGTATCAAAAAGAGTGTTCTTTCGTTTATTTGTTAACAGTTATCCTGACTTTATCTCGAAGCTGAAAGATGACTGGCCCAAAGTCTCCCAATAGGTGTCTGTGGCTAAAGGTGGATTCAAACTTGCATCTCCCCAATCTGTACCATGTTATTTTCATTCTATACATACATATACATTTATACATACATACAGCAGAATGGAAACCATGAAGATTAGGAGTAAGGACTGGATAATGGACTCCAGGATATCGTTTTATTCCTTTCATTACTTCTGTGTGATCTGCCATCTTAAAAAAAATCATTTCACAATGTCATATTATAATATCTGATGCCTATCTCATGGCATTAATAAAAGAAAACAAAAAGCACAATCCACATACACAAACTGGATAAGCAAGATAAAACTGAGAATGTATGCCAGATAATATAGTCAGTATAACTAACATTTGTTGTCTTTCTCTCTATAGCACATGGTTGTTACATGGTACTACATGTAGGAGTATCTCTCAGTTTTCAAGTAACTGTGTTCTGGGCAGTGGTGGGATTCAGTTGGTTCGCACCACTTTCGCAGAACTGGTAGCTAATTTTTTGTTGCCCAGGCCCAGAATGGACTTCTGGAAGCGGCATCCACACAGAGAACCGGTTGTTCACACATCTGAATCCCACCACTGGTTGTGAGTAAGATATTGAATTGAGATTTAGGATAGGCAGTTTGAGTCCTTGCTCAACATGAAGCTGCTTGCTGACCCTGGACTTATTCTCAGCTCAAATAAATGACCATATTTTTGTTGTGATGGTAAAAGGAAGTGAGACTATGTTTACCATCTTGAGGTTGCAGAGGAAAGGCAAGCTATTTGTGCAATCATAACAAAACTTTAAACCCTTAATTAAATAAAGAATGTCCCTCATACCACCTAGGAAAAGGCAAATCTTTAAAATGAAGTATACTTTACTTAATGAAATACGAAACCAATGTGACAACATTTGTGATTTTGAATATTGTGAGACACCTGGAAATATGGTTAAAAGGCTAAATAGAAAGTACAATTCAAGCACCATGAAACTTAATAGTTTCAAATAGATTTCATACAATAAATTTTATTCTTGATATTTTTTCTTGAGAGTAAAGTCTTATTTTAACATTAATGTTTCTGCAATCCATGTACAAAATGCAATAGGATACTTAAGCCATAAGCATTCCAGTGGCACCCGTTTATCATTCTTGGCAATTTCAATTATAGGTGTGGGATTCTGTTTTACATGGCACATTGCTACTGCAAACCCTTTACTTCTTCTGGCTGTTTTAACTAAAAAAAATCATCGCCAAAGAAAACATTTATAAAGAAATGGTAAAAATTCCAAAATACCTTTAAGAAAGAATAGATGGAAAAGTAACTAGCTGTAATTTTATGATCTAAGAAAAGGCTGATCTAAGGGGATACAATTAAGATCATGCTTCATTGGCAAGCAATGTGGCCTCAGAATGTAAACAAATTTCATGCAAACATCAAGCTGTTATATTATACATTCAGCACCGAAATAGAAATAAAATGAGATTGTTTTCCACCCCTTGTATATGGCCAACCTAGACCAAATTTGCTACTGAAGGAGCCTCACTGGGGAAAAAAAAGAAATTAAGAAAACATTTTTAAAAACTAAGGAAGTGAAAAGAGTAGCTTATGGTTGCCTTAAATATTTCATGAAGGAAAGTACATCTCAGAATACCATATTACACTATAAAATGACAATAAGAAAAATCCAAAATTATTTTTTAAATTGATTTTGTTAAGGCTAACATGAACAATTTATATATATACAAAAATTAATACAAACTAAGATACAGATGGAAAACAGAAAAAGAAATAAAAGAGAAAAACTGCAAAAAGAAAAGAAGAAAAAAGGTAGAAGAGAAATATAAAATAAAGAAAAAAGATACAAAGAAGTGGCTTCTGATCTTTTTTTAACAGCAGTTATACTGTAAATACAATTGTAGATTTACCTCTTTCTCCAACATTACATCGTGACTCTCTTCTTTTAATAGTCTAGCCCAGGGGTAGGCAACCTTGGCTCTTTTATGACTCGTGGACTTCAACTCCCAGAATTCCTGAGCCAGCTGGCTCAGGAATTCTGGGAGTTGAAGTCCACGAGTCATAAAAGAGCCAAGGTTGCCTACCCCTGGGCTAGCCTATGTAATCATCAAAATCATAGAGCATAAGTACATTTTTTTTCTGTTTTATGCAAAAAGTCAATAAGGGGTTTCCAGTCAGCGATAAACATAGATATTGTCTTTTCTCTAATCAAACAGGTCAATTTGGCCACCTCAGCAAAATCTATCATCTTCACCAAACATTTCTCTATTGTTGCAGATATTGCCAAATCTTTCCATCTTTGTGTGTCCAATAATCTTGCTGTGGTTGTCATATATAAAAACAAAGTGCCATGAATTTTTTTCAACTGTTTATCCATCAGTCCCAAGAGGAAAAATTCTTTTTCAGTTGTATAGCAATCTTTAAAATCTTCTGAATTGGTGCATGCATTTGAACCCCAAATGTTCGAGTTTTAGTGAGAATTGATTCTCTTGAGCCTTCCTCTACCCCAGACATGTCCAAAGTCCGGCCCACGGGCCATTTGCGGCCCGCGTTCCGGTTTAATACGGCCCTCTAACAGCCCTCCCTGCTCTATGTAAATGCGGCCCTCCCACGGCCCTCCGGCAAGTCCCATGAGAGAGAGACAGAGACAGAGACAGAGACAGAGGCACTTGCACTTGCACTTCTCTCTCTCTCTCTCTCTCTCATGGGACTTGCCCCCTCGCAGGGCTCCTCATTGGCCCTGCGTCCGGGTGCCCCGCCCCCTGGGAGAAGGGCAGCCAGGAAGTCCCTTTCCCAGGCTGGCCCCGTCCCAGGCGCACGTGGCTGGGGAGCCATGCGGGGAAGCCCCGGGATCCCCGCTGGGAGCAACCCCCCTGGAGCCTTTGCTGAGTGGGCCAGCCCTCCCGTAAGCCACAGCCCCGAGAGAGAGCAGCCCCTGCGATGTCCAGCCGGCGCAACCATTGGCCAAGCAGCAGCAGAGCCGGAAATGGAAGGTCAGTGGCAGGGGGGAGGGAGCTCTGAGTCTGCACAGCACTGCTGCGAAGCGGCCGCGGGGCGGGTGGCACCCCCCCAGCTTACCTGTACCAGGCAGCAGTCCTGGCTGGGGCATTGCTTCCTGGCCTGTCCCCAGGCCGCTCCCTGCGCAGCCGAGCCGGCCATGTATCTCCCCGGGCTGGGCCGCGTGACAGTCCTTGCTGGGGCGGTGGCCAGCGGGGGCATCGCTCCCTGGGCCGTCCCCAGGCCGCTCCCTGCCTGGGCAGCCGAGCCGGCCACGCGTCTCCCCGAGCCAGTCCGTGGTGCCCTGGGCGCCTTCTGCTGCCTCCTGCCCCCGCCACACGCTTGGCCATCCCAGGACCTCCGCCCATTTTCCCACGCCCGGAGCAGGGGAGGAAGCGCTGCTTTCTGGGCATCGAAAGGGGCTTACCCCTCCCAGTCCCCCGTCCACTGGGGCGACGGCGCTCCTCTGGACCGGGGCTGTGCGAATCGCAGCCTGCAGGATTTGGCCCTGGAAAGGCTGGACTGGCCAGCCGGCCGGGGAGGCCAAGCAGCCCCAGCGAGGGAGCCGCTCCCGCCCTGTGGCCGGTTGGCCAGGAATCCCATCCGGCTCGGCGGGAAGCTCGGGGGCCACCTGAGTGCCGCAGGGGTGTCCACCTCAGCCGCTTCTGGCAGGCCCGCTAATTGTGGGCTCCCTGCCGGCTTCCTCCGTGAGCCAGGTATCCGGGACTCCACGGAGCCGCCCCTAATTGCGCCCCGCGAGGGCTCGACTGAGCCCCGGCCTGATCTCCAAAACGCAGCTTGCCCGAATTCTTTCTGCCTCCTGGGGGAAGTTGCGCTTCGTGGCCCAATTATTGTGGGCATCCTTGTTGTTGAGAGAGAGAGAGAGAGAGAGAGAGAGAGAGAGAGAGAGAGAGAGAGAGAGAGAGAGAGAGAGAGAGAGAGAGAGAGAGAGAGAGAAAAAAGAGAGAGAGAGAGAGNAGAGAGGGAGAGGAAAAAGAGGAAAGAAAGAGAAAGAAGGAGAAAAGAGAAAGTATGCCATTTGCAATTAACTTGGCATAAAATAATTCATTTGCATTTAATTGTAATGGTTCAAAGAATGTTCGGAAAAATGTTCGGCCCTCCAGCACGTTCACTTCATCCAATCTGGCCCTCTTTGAAAAAAGTTTGGACACCCCTGCTACCCTCTACAGAAGATTGTCAGTATGAGGTGTCATGAGTTTGCTAGAAGGACTATGCTGCAAAGTTTGTTCCCAGATAAGTATAGGTATTATTAATCTTCCATAACTACCACTTCATGCCTCTGCAAATTTGCCTTTGGAAGGCATTGTCCATAACCTTCCTTGATTGAGGAGAGCAATAGGAGGCATTAACAACAGTATTGCTTTTATTGTTAACCCACATTCTCTCCACAGTATTGCCAAATTCATTCATTTGGATTTGTGGGCAAGGATGTTTTAATGTTTTAATCCCCAATGCACCAACTGTTCTGTTTCTATTGCTTCTGCCCCTTTTGAACAAATAGTATCATACAATTGCTCTATTCTAGTTATAGAAATCATCCCACAAAAGTTATCCCAGTTTCCATTTTAACTATGAAATCATATTTACTTTTCTGTATGCTGGTACAAGCTCATTCTGTTCATGTCCCATGTTTGGAACATTATGATAAACAATGAAGACATAAACTTTATAATCCAATATTCTTACTACAATAAAGATACGTGAATACCTCTTATTTTTATTGCAGAAGCTGCATGCAGGATTGAGTGATCTGCTTTGTGAATTCAGGCTATCAATAGCATTCACTTTTCATCATGCCATTCTCCCAGAGAAATTCATGTTTCATTCCTGAGGCTGCTATTTGCCTTATAAAAGGGAAAATCCTATTTAAAAAATCCAAGTTTCCTGCAACAAATGTAATATCAGTGGGATGTCCCAAAGGTGCTTTTTCAAAAGGCAACCGGACTTTGTTTTTCCTTGAAGATGTTTTGTTCTTCTCCAGAAATGAAGAAGCTTCTTGGATGAGAAGTAAAGTAAAGGAAAAACGAAGTCCAGTTGCCTTTTGAAAGATAGATTTATTTTAAGATTTATTTCATTTATACCCCGCCCTTCTCCCGGAGGACTCAGGGCGGCTTACAGCCAGTTAAAACAATTATACAAAATACAAATCTAAGATAAATTAAAAATAAATATTCGAATCGGCCGCACTACTAAAATTCAATTAAAACCAATTTAAAATTACCCCTAGGCCAGTCCTGCCTGCTGAAACAGCCAGGTC